ATAATAATAATAATAATAATAATAACAATAATAATAATAATAGTGGCAGTTATAATAATAGTAACAATGATAATAATAACAACAGGGTCTGCTTCCCATAAAATCAGTAAGACTGTCAAGGCTGCTTTAGTGCTACTGGCGCCTTCGAAGATCTTATTTCTGACCATGTGCTTATCTCACTCAATCACTTTTGTTTCTGAAATTCCTCAGCTGCAAATTTCTGAATTGATTTTAACCGCTTTGAATATGGCCATGCATCACCAATGCGGTCACCATTCGCAGCGATGTACTCTGATTTCGAATCGCCCAGTATTTTACGCAACCGTACGTTTGTCGCCGCAGATGATTTTAAATATTGAAGTGCACCTTCCACGTAGTTCGGCGACCTGGAAATGATCAAAAAATTTTGAATTACTTAATCCTTGCATTAAAAAGTGAAGTGCTTCTTGTTACTATATAATAAATACCAAAAAATGGAAGAATTTTCCATGTAAAAACCATAAAAAATTTTTGAAAAATATTAACATTTTCAAAAAAATATTAACATTTTCAAAAAAATATCAAAAAAAAAATATTAAAAACATTAACATTTTCACTATTATTAGCATCTTAATAGTGACAACTGCCCATGTCGGAGACAACAGTTGCAGCAACTCAACTTTTCATGACTTTCGTACATTACTCTGGATATAGATGTTCAAGAAACAGATGTTTTTCAACTGTTGGGAAAGAGCAAAGATTTATATAGTTTACAAAAATAGGGCGATTTAAACAGGCCGATTTATGCATGATACAGATCTTTTCAATAACAAAAAGGCAACATCAAACTCAAACTAACTTCTTCTTTAAAGAAAAACAGAAATAACTGAATTCACCCAAGATTCATGAAGATTTTGCGAATACCGCAGGAAAAAGCCCTTTTTCCAAATAGCTGCTAAAAGGCAACCGAAAAAAAAAAGCCAGATTTTGAATCTTTAACAAAAGCAAGAATAATTCTTGATACACGCAAACTCACTGTATGATTTTTCGAAAATTTTCAAAATTTCTTCCGAAAATTTTGGGGAAAAAACTTTGGTATTTAAGAAACAATTTCATAATAAAAAATAAAAGCTCACTCTGCACAGGTGTCGTGATCGAGCATCATTTCACCATACGAAACAAATCTTCTCATCGCATCCCTGAAGCTAACTATTGCCATTGGTGTTGTGAACAACACAGAACTGTATGAGAGAAGACGCCCGTAGCGCAATAAAACCACAAATGTTAAAACAACTGCGCTCGACATCAAAAGCCATGCGAATGCTGGTACGATGATAAAACGGCGGCTGAAAAAAAAAAGAAATATTTTCACAAGAAATATGAGATTGCTGAGAAGTTACGCCAACGATAAAAATGTCGCTAATAACAAGAAAGCAAAGAAAAATTGTATGGACGTGATAAAAGGCTAATATACCTGTTAGCTCTGTGCAACTCTCGTCGGACAAGGAAGCGTCGTGCAGCGTCTGATAAAAAATATCCATCGTAAATGCTTTTTCCTTCATCTGTTGTCGTATCAATCGATTCGGTTTTCCTGCAAACAGAAGGCGAAAAGGATTAGGGCACCAAGCAGTCAGCCGTATGAACGGATATAGCTGAAAGCCGATCGCCGAAACGATCAGATCACTTCAAAGTCAGGTAATTCGTCCACAGAAAGACGTAACCACAGTCAGAATATCTGGCCAGGCGTAGAAAGCAGAATATAACGCATGTTAATTGTAGCTGCCATAATTTACTTCTCAAAAGCAATCGTGCAAAATGCACATTCGCATCAATGAGGGAGAGAGGCGAGGGGAATGAGGTGACTGATGTAAAAGCAAACGAACACTGAACTCCACGACCTGAAACAGGCAGAGGGCTGTCTATGTTTCATCCACAAATAGCATTTGCATAGAAACTCCGATCGGTGAAGTAATTAGCACTCGCTGGCACAGTGCCAATACTGCATGGGCAAACTACAAATTTTTAAATTTTATTGGGAATTGGAAGAACAGATCAGACAGAACTAAGACGGACATTCGACTTAGGTTTGTCAAAACCAAAAAATAGCATTTGCACAAAAACTCCAATCGGTGATATGATTAGCACTCGCTGGCACAGTGCCAATACTGCAAATTTTAGGGTTTTATCGGGGATTGGAGGAAAAGATCGAACAGAACAAATAAATGTTTCGCTCAAATACAGACGTTTCATTCAAGTTTGCCAAAACTAAAAAATAGCATCTGCACAGAAACTCCGATCGGTGAAATAATTAGCA